AGATTCCCACTCCTGACCCCCGCTGCAGTCCAACTCAAGAACCGGAAATCTGGGTCACCTCCTCCCTCAGATTCAGGAGTCCAGGCCCCCAGCCCCTCCTCCCTCAGACCCAGGGGTCCAGGCCCAGCCCCTCCTCCCTCAGACTCAGGAGTCCAGGCTCCCAGCCCCTCCTCCCTCAGACCAGGGGTCCAGGCTCCCAGCCCCTCCTCCCTCAGACCCAGGGGTCCAGGCCCAGCCCCTCCTCCCTCAGACTCAGGGATCCAGGCTCCCAGCTCCTCCTCCCTCAGACCCAGGGGTCCAGGCTCCCAGCCCCTCCTCCCTCAGACCCAGGGGTCCAGGCCCCCAGCCCCTCCTCCCTCAGACCCAGGGGTCCAGGCCCCCAGCCCCTCCTCCCTCAGACCAGGAGTCCAGGCTCCCAGCCCCTCCTCCCTCAGACCCAGGGGTCCAGGCTCCCAGCCCCTCCTCCCTCAGATCCAGGGATCCAGGCTCCCAGCTCCTCCTCCCTCAGACCCAGGGGTCCAGGCCCCCAGCCCCTCCTCCCTCAGTCCCAGGGCTCCTGGCGCCTAGGCCCAGCCTCACCTGCCGGAGGTTGTTGTAGATGTCCAGCTCCCGGCCCCCATGCTGGAAGAGGTTGACTAGCCGATGCACAGCGGGCAGGTTGGCCTGCACCACGGCGATGTGGAGTGGCCTGGGGATGGGGGTCAGAGGCATTAGGGGCTGGTCACCTCTCACGCACTCTCTTAGCATCCCTAACTCCCATATGTGCTGGATACTCTGGAAGGATCTCCAGGATCCAGCCACTTCTCCCCACCCCCACTCCTTCCCTCCTGGTTCGGCCACCATCACCTCCCTCCTGGACTGTGTCCTCTCCGCTGGCCTGCTTGCTCCCACCCCCACCCCACTCTCTCCCCGCCCCACAGCAGCCTGAAGGACTCCTCAGGGCCAAAGTCCTCCCCACAGCTCACGGGCCCTAGGGGACCTTGTCTCCCCCTCTTCCACCCCTTTTGACCTCATCCCCGCCTACTCTCCTCACTCCGCTCTGGCCACTGGCCTCCTTGCTGTTCCTTGCACATACAGAGCCTGCTTGCCGCCTGTGCATGGGCTGTTCCCTGGGCCTGGAACAGCCTCCCGCCAGATGGCTGTGGGGCTCGCTCCCCTCACCCAGGCGCTGCGAAAGTGGTACTGCCTCCCCTGCTCCTCCCCCTGCTTTCTTTCCCTCCACATCATCACCTGATGTCATGCAGTTACTTGTTTCCTGTCTGAATCTCCCTGCTAGCACATAGTCTCCACCAGGGCAGGGCATTTGTCTGACTGACCACTGCCCCGTGTGTGGACAGGGCTGGCGCTGGGCAAGCACTCCCCAAATATACACCGAATAAATGACGCCATCTCTATGATCCCTGGCCATCCTTGAAGCTGGTGACCATGTCACCCACCCCCCCCCCCCCGGCCCCGCCACGGGCCAGTTTCTTATCTGTGGCATGAGGGGGCATGAACTAGATGCCCTTAGGCTCTCCATCCATTATGACTGTACGTCACGTTCAGCCTCTAACCCCAGAGAGCCACGGGTGGGGTACCTACGTGGAGAGAGTTTTGCCTGAAGGCAGGCGGGATAACCTGGAATGGGGGTCATTGTTCTGGACAACACAGATCCCCCTGCTCCCAGACTGGAGGACACATTCCCCCAGCTTCTGGGGAGGTTGCCAGCCCTCAGCTCTCTCTGGGGATCACCCTCGCTGAAAAGAGCAGCTGGTCCAGGTCATGAGCGGGGCCGTCGCCAACCAACCAACGGCAGCCAGTGACTGGTCAGGATGGGCATCGAAGGCCCAGCCTTCTGGCCCCAACTCTGAAGGCCACTGCAGCTTCAAGGTTCCCCGTGGGACAGCTGAGGCCCTGCAGAGACCACCCAGCAGCCCAGCTCCTCCCTCTGCCTGGTCCTGCTTCCTCCGTCCCCACAGGCCTTGATCCCAGAGCACACTGCAATAAACTTCCTGCCTGCTTCCCAGGGCCCCTAACCTGGAGGAGCCACTTAGAGCTCAGGGCCACGTGGGGTGACTGTCCCGGGTCAGGGGACTTTAGCACTGAGCACAAAGTTGACTGCATGGACCCAGGCGGCACAACCTTTCCTTCAATCCATTTATTTGCAAGGGCAACCAGGTTCCCACCCACGCCCGTCTGCTCGAAAACTGGGCCTTGCTAAGGCAGGCGAACAGCAGGTCTCCCAATCCTGGAATGTGCATCAGAATCCACATTTTAAACCAGCTCCCTAAGTGCTGCGGGCGGAGGCAGAGAAATCCTGCAGCCCACGAGGCTTTGGGGGCGCTGAGCAGGCCAGGGTTGCAAATTGGGCTGCAATCCCGCTAGCGGTGCGCGCCAGGGCAAAGTCATGTGGCCCCCTCGGGGCCTCGGTTTTTTCCTTTATAGTGCCCCCAATAACGCCCACCTCCCAGGAGGAGACTATGCAGGCGAAACCCGGCTCCTGAGCCGCGAAAGCCCAATTTAAAAAGCCAGTGTTGGGGGAGGGGAGGGACCTGGGCAGGAGGCCCCTGAGACGGGCTCCCCTCTCGCCCCGCGCCTCTCTGGACGCCCAGCCCAGGTCCCTCTCTCAGGCCGAGCGGGGTTAAGTGAGGGCAGAGGGAGCGATGATTTCAGAGAAACCGTCCAGGCCTGAGTTCCCATAAACGCGCGGGCCGCAGGGGGTGGGGCGGGGCTGGAGGAAGTGGGGACGGGAGGGGCGGCCCAGCCCTCGGACTTCCAGTAACAGGTCTGCGGGGCGGGGCTCCGCTTCCTGCTCCCGGGGGAGGGAAGCCGGTCCCGCCGGGGATCTACCCCGGCCACCCCCGGCACCCCAACTTCCATCCTCGAATGGGGCGGGGGAGGAGGGAGCCCAGCGCCAGAAGACCTAGCTTTCCTGGGAGGAGGGGGCGGGGGCGGGAAGGACCCCAAGTCCTCCAGCCCGGGGCCCCTCTGGAACTCCACGGCGCAGACTCCAGCTGGCTCCCTATCCACCCCCCATATCCCGGCATCCACTCCCAGGATCTCATGGGACCCACGAATACGGTGCCCTAACTCTGCACAGAGCGACCTCTCCGGTCCCTCTAAGTTCTAGATCCCCAAACGGCCCTGCGCCCTGTTCCTTACCCCCTCGTGGGTCAAGGAATGCAGGACCCCAACGTCTGCTCTCTGGGAGCCAGAATACGTTCCCCCCTCTCTTAGAGACCCAGATTCCAGCTCCCCAGTGCCCGAACTCTTGGGGGAGAGGGGGTCCAGGTGCCCTGGGGTTCTTGCTCCCCTGGGACCCTAGAAGTCCAGCCTCCCCACCCAGCTTTGCTGCTCTGGGGACTTGGCGTGTCCCCCTCCCCCGCCCCCAGGCTGCGCCGCTGCCCCATTCCGGTAAAGTCGGCCCCCAGCGGAAGGGGTTAAGGTTGGAGGGAGCGCCAGGAGGGGGAGGCTGCGAGTGAGTGACGGCTGCTGACGTGGGGGAGGCAGAGCAGCTGGGCTGCGGTCAAGTTTTGCGGGAAGGGATTTCCCCCACAGGCAGCTGAGGCAGAAGTGTTTGCTTTGGGGGAGAGGGGGGCGGCGCGGGGGAGGGCGGGTGGGGCGCGGGGCTGGAGGCCGGGGTGCCGCGTCGCCTTCTGCACCCTGCTCGCACAGGCTGCAAACAGCTCACCCCTGGGGACAGACACAAATGAAATCGATTTCACAGATGACCCCGGAGCTACCCAGGGCGGGAGGGAACTAGCTCGATCGAGCCTTTTAGACGTCTCGGGCACTTTCTCCTGTTTGGGCTCACACCCGTGGCCCATAACCACTCGGGAAGCAAGCTCTGTTCCAACACCGCCCCCCCCCCATTCCTGTGTATTGAGCACCGACTATATGCCCAGCCCTGTTCTAGGCACCATATGTGTGCAGATCATTGCACTGAATCCTCATTGTGATAGGTGCTATTCCAAGCCTCGATTTCCATATAGGGAAACTGAGGCTCGGGGATGCGAAGTCATCCAGCTGGTGGTCAGGCCTGTTTATCCCACCCCTCCCTGTGCTTTCCAGTCCCCAGTCCCGCAGATAAGCGCTTTACGGAAATCATCTCATTTCTGCCTCAGAGACCCTGGCAAACTGTGTGGTTCCTGTTTTTACAGGGGAAACTGAGGCAGAGAGGGGTGAGAAGCTGGCCAGCTGAGAGTCAGACCGAGGTGGACAGAATCATCGTAATCGTGATGGTCCAGCGTGTTGAGCGCTTCCCCACGTGCTGGACACGGGGCTAGACCCCTGGGGCAGGATTTCTCAGCAGCTTCAAGAGAATTTTCTTCAAACTGCAGATCAACCCTCGGATTTGCGAAATCAATTTACGGGATCCTGAAATTAACTGAGTGTGCTATGATCATGGAACGAGGAAACAGGCTCGAAAACACCAAAGTGGACCCCAGGTAGTAAGGATATTGTTTTGTTATGTGCAATTTTTATTTAAAGTTTCTAACTCTGTCTATGTGCTGGGCTTAATATAAAGTAGTAATGATAATAGTTAATCCTTATTGAGCACTTATAATCTGCCAGGCTCAGGGTTAGGAGCTTAGCGTGTATCATTCATATAATCAACCAATCAATGAAATTGGTTGCTCATTTTGGGATTGTGAGAAAAAACTTGAAGCCCCCAAAACAGTCCTAGGAGGTAGGTTCTCTCAGGGTGCCCATTTTTCAGAAGAGGAAACTGAGGCTCAGAGAGGGAAAGGACCTTGCTCAAAGTCACACAGCTGGCGGTGGAGACAGGATTCTAACTGGGGTGGATGGAACTCAAAAGCCCAAGCTGAGTGCCCCTGTGTGGTGGTGGGCGAGGTGGGGGGAGGGCTGGCTTCCCCACCCGCCATCAGTGGGGGCCTGTTACTCACGTGTCTCCGTCCTCATCTGCACGGGTTGCCATGGCGATGTCAGCCGACAGGGGATGTTCCATGGGGCACACCATGGGGTACAGGGGTGTAGGCAGGTTCAGCAGAGGAAAGGGGGGGCCCATGGCTTGGGTGGGGTACAGGGGCAGTATAGGTCCTAGGCAGAGAAAGGACACGGGTGAGGCCAAGCCCACAGACCCTCAACCCGCCCACCCTGCCTCCAGGTCTTTGCTCCTGCCGTGTCACCTGCTCTTTTTCCACGTCCCTTTTGCATCTCATACTGGGTCCTCAAGGGCCAGGATAATCTCCCTTCCACATCTATCATCTGGGCTCTAGCAGCTTCCCCCCCACCCCATCCCCTGCAGCCCTGGTCACTCTCACTGTCATTTAGCTTTTCTTGCATCCGACCCCATCTCCTACCAGGCCAAGAGACCCCCATTATCCCGCAGCAGGGGACCCCAGGGCCTGTTTGCTGAGTGAATTTGTGGCTGAGCGAGGTAAGAATGGATGAAGCACTGGGTGTAGGGTGTGGGGTGCATGCATAGAGAGTCCAGGGCGAAGGGTGGGACAGAAGGTGAGCGGGGCTAGTGCCAGGAACCTGCTCAGATCAAACTGCTGGAGGAGACCCTGGCGGCCATCCCATTCGTATCCACCCATCACAGGGATGGGAAAACTGAGGCCAGGTTCTCACCCAGGGAACGGGAGGGGGAGGAGGCAGTGGCAGCCCCTGATGCACAGCTCGGGGGCTCTCCAGCTCTGCTCTGATGGGCTGGAAGGGGCAGAAACTGAGCAGGGGTCTGCAGGCCCTGGGCATGGGCGCTCTGCAGCTCTGCAGCTCTGGGGGTCACTCGGGGTTGGTGAGGTGGGCACAACTGTGGGATGGAATGCCCCCTCCTTGAGATCAGGGGTGAAGATAGGATGGCAGGAGGTGTTTGGCCTTTGCTGTCATCTCCTGATCTTTGGGGGACCCCCTTCCTGAACCCCCAAGTTGCCAGGTCCCTGGATGGGCCTTCTGTTTGGAGACCCCTGAATCCTTCATCCTGGCCCCAAATCCTTGAGTCCTAGAACCCCCTAGTCCTGGCCACCATCCCTTTAACCCTCAGTCCCCAAGCCCCCTAGGGCCACCCGAGTTTGTGACCTCAGATGAGACCCTGACCCCCTGGGGCCACACATAGCCAGCTCTGTCCCGCTGGCTCCTCAGGACTCCCAGTACCTGGGTCTATTTCCTTGGATCCTGTGACCCTGGATATTGGGGTGCTCAGAACTCCAACTCTGTTCTCATTCCCACTGTTCCCCAATATCTTGGTTCCTGAGATCTTGACATCCTGAGGTCCCTATTATCTATCTCCTTAGAACCCCGGTCTCTCTTCCCCTGTCTCCTTGACCCCTCATATCTGGATGCCGAGAACCCCAGTTTCTTGGGCCCAAGTGCTAATTGCTCATAACCCTGGATATCTGGGTCCTTAGGAGCTTATAATTCTGGGTTCCTGGACTACGGCCTCTGCTCCCTTAATCCCATGAGACCCCATATCTATCCTGCTGGGCACTGACCCCTGGGTCCTCATATCTGTGGCATTCGGACCCTGGGCTCTGTCCCCACGGCCTCCTAATGCCCACTGCCTAGGACCCCCATCCCAAGACACCACTCTCCTCAATGCTCCCATATCTGGGCCCCTGGGACCTCAGCCTCTGCCCCTAGCTCCCCAGGAACCCCATATCTGTGTCCTTGGGACCTTGGATTCTGTCCCCGTGCCCCTCAGCTCCCTGTGACACCATATATTTGTGTCTGATCTTTGCCCCGGGCACTGGTAACCCTGTGCCCTGTCCGGCCCCCACCTGGCCCTGACCCGCAGGAGCCACTCACCCTGGTAGTAAAGCGCCTCTGGCCGGGCCAGGCCATGCGGGGGCGCGGGGACGGCCGGCGCGTCGGAGCCGCCGCGCAGGGGATCCGGGGGATCGAGCGGGCCCGCGGCGCCGCTGGGGGCGGCGGGCTCCGGGGAGGGCGCGCGGAGCGGGCGCTTGCGGAGCGGCAGCGCGGCGCCCGGGGGTGCGGCGGCCTTGGGCCGGGTGCGCAGGTCCACGGGCCCCTCGTCCATGGCCCCCGCGGGGCATCGGGGCATGGGGCCGCCGGGGACGGCGGCCGAGCGGGCGGCCGGAGCGCGGCTCGGCTCGGCGCACGGGCGGGTGGTTGCGCAGGGCGCCGGGACTTCCCCTGCCGCCGGCTGAACTGAAGGGACTTTTGTCGGCCGGGGCGGTGCCGGCCGCCCGCCTCCCCGCCCCCGGCCCCCCCGGGGCCACCCGTCCGCCCCAGGGGTTTCCTGGACCCGCCGCCGCTGCCGCCGCCGTGCGCCCCGCCCGCCCCGCGCCCCGCGCGCCCCCTCCCGCCCCGAGCGCCCGGGCGCCTGGGCCTCTGCGGGGGGCGGGGGCGGGGTGGGAAGGAGGCGGGGTCGGGGAGGGGGTCCCACCCCTGCGGTGCGGCCTCTCTCGGTCGCTGTCTGTTTTTCTGGCTCTGTCTCTACCTCTGAGTTTCCAACTTTGTCTCTGAGCCTGCTGTCTGGATGGATGTCTCTCTGAACCTGTCTCTGTGTCTCTGTTCTCACGGTCTCTGTATTGTCTCTGTGTGTCTCTCCATGTCTCTGTCTCTCGAATGCTGTCTGCTTCTCAGCCTCTCCCCCAGGGAGGCACTTCCAGGAAGCCCTGGGGTCGCTGGGACGCGGGGTCGAGTCCCGACTCCCACTTCCTCGCCGGGTGACCTTGACCAGGCACTTCCCTTCTCGGAGCCGCTTCCTCCAGTGCGAGGGCAGGGACTGCCCTGGCAGGCGCCCTGGCACCGTCCCTCTGCCTGCCCTGCCCCCACCTCTGCCCCCTCCGTGTGCCTCCAGCGTGGCCCGAACTTCGCTGGGGTGGGGGGCGGTGGGGAGTGCGCGGAGGAGCCGAGCGTGTCTCCCCGCGCGGGGTCCCTGCGCCACCGGGTGGGTGCTCTGTGCATCTTGGATGCACCGAGAGAAAGAGACGTGGCGACACAGCCATGCAGATCGTGAGAGACCAAGGACAAGAGAGACGGAGAGATAGCAAGAGACGCAGAGACACAGATCAGAGCCGGGCGACAGGAGCCTGGGCCGGGGGGGGGGCGGGTGCGCAGTGTGGCTCCCCCCGCTTCCCCCTCCCCTCCCGGGCGGGGTTGAGGGTGGGGAACAGGCCGGGCGGGTTAGGGGCATGACTCAGAGGCGGGCTGGAGCTGGAGTGGGGCGGCTGGAGGGGCAGAGGCGGGCCTCTCGCCGGCCCCTCCCCTCGCGCCCCTCTCCCCGCCCCGGGGAGGGGCGCCGGCGCGCGGGGCTTTCCCGGATTTCCCTGGAGGCGGGGCCGTCGCTGGGGTTGAGTCCCGGTCACCGAGTTACCGGAGGCGGAGGGGGAGGCTTTGGGGCCCTCGGGGATCGGGGGCTTGGGGGCTGCACCCCGGGTCTGTCCAGGCGGCGCGCAGCGTCTCCCTGGTCCTCTCTCTGCGTCGCCCCGGCCTCTGTCCCTCCATCCCTGGCCTCCCTCTCGTCGTCTCCGGCCCCGCCCCCTTTCTCGTTGGTCTCCCGCTCTCTGTGTGTCTGTCTCCCCGGCAGCGTCTCTCCGGGACCCTGAAAGTGGGTGTGGGACCCAGGTCCCCAGGAAGGGACTTTGCCCCGGGCTCGGGCCCCACCCCAGTGGATCGTTAACCCGGGATGTGGGCAGAAAGAGGCCTTACCCCTTTCCCCCCAAGCTCTCCTTTCTGCCTCTCCCCTGCAGCCCCCTGGATGGGGAAGTCGCTGGGGGCACACCCGGGTTCGAGTCCCGCCTGCACCCCTTGCTCCCTGCGGGACCTCAGACAAGTCTTCTCTCTGGAGACTCAGTTTGTTCTTCTGGCCAGTGGGGCTGCTGTCCACCCGTGTCCCAGCGCCGTGAGGAAGACGAGCAGGAATCCGGGTGGGAAGTCTGGGTGCCTGGCCTCTGGGGACAGTGACCACAGGGGAGGGGAGGGGTGGGACGCCGAGCGCCCGCTGTACAGAGAAGGAAGCTGAGCCTCAGGGGCTTGTCCAGGCCGGGACCCTGGGAGGTAGCGTTGGGAGGACACCGAGGTCCTCCCTCTCCCCATCTCCTCGTGGCGGGTGGAGCAATGGCTGTGGGCCCGGGCAGCACCAGGGAGGGGGAGTCTGCACTTGGCCCAGAGGGGACTTGGAAGGACTGAGGGAGAGGGCATGGTGGTTCCAAGTCCGAGCATGGAGGAGGGATGAAATTCTGAAGGAGGAGGATCTGAAAGAGGAAGACAGGTCTGAGAGGGAAGTAGACGGTCTGAGGGAGGAGGTGAGGGCCTGAGGGAGGAGGTGAGGGCCTGAGGGAGGAGGTGAAGGCCTGAGGGAGGAGGTGAGGGTCTGAGACAGAAGTAGATAGTCTGAGGGAAGGAAGAAGGTCTGAGGGAGATGAACAGGTCTGAGGAAGGAGGTGGGGGCCTGAGGGAGGAGGTGAGGGTCTGAGGGTGGAGGTGAGGGCCTGAGGGAGGAGAGAGGGCCTGAGGGAGGAGGTGAGGGCCTGAGGGAGGAGAGAGGGTCTGAGGGAGGAGGTGAGGGTCTGAGGGAGGAGAGAGGGCCTGAGGGAGGAGGTGAGGGCCTGAGGGAGGAGGTGAGGGCCTGAGGGAGGAGGTGAGGGTCTGAGGGAGGAGAGAGGGTCTGAGGGAGGAGGAGAGGGCCTGAGGGAGGAGGTGAGGGCCTGAGGGAGGAGGTGAGGGCCTGAGGGAGGAGAGAGGGTCTGAGGGAGGAGGAGAGGGCCTGAGGGAGGAGGTGAGGGCCTGAGGGAGGAGGTGAGGGTCTGAGGGAGGAGGTGAGGGTCTGAGGGAGGAGAGAGGGTCTGAGGGAGGAGGAGAGGGCCTGAGGGAGGAGGTGAGGGCCTGAGGGAGGAGGTGAGGGCCTGAGGGAGGAGGTGAGGGCCTGAGGGAGGAGGTGAGGGTCTGAGGGAGGAGGTGAGGGCGGAGTTGAGCATCTGAGGGTGGAGGTGAGGATCTGAGGGAGGAGGTGAGGGCCTGAGGGAGGATGTGAGGGCTTGAGGGAGGAGGTGAGCATCTGAGGGAGGGAGGAGAAAGTTGGGGGGAAAAGAAGGGCCTGAGGGAAGAGGAGTTTTGGAAAGGGTCTGAGAGTGGGGGTGAATTCTGAGGGGGGAGGAGACTTGAGGGAGAAGATCCGAGGGTCTGAGGGCGGAGGGCATGGTCTGAGGGAGGAGGAGCAGTGGGAGGAGGCTTCCTTG